AATAACTTAAAATAAATGTCTGTTTAGTATATTAACCACCAGCAGACAAAAATAACATTTGATCGAACCCTAGCTGATAAGGTACCGTGAAAGCAAAATGATATAAAAAGACATGTAGAAGAATGAAAATATTTATAATTAATAAAATGTATATTTGGAAGAATTTTTAAAAATGTTTAAAAAATCTAATTTACATTATAATGCGCTACACATAGCCTAAATTGAATAAGAGTAGTTGAATACTTCCTAACGTTTTTAGTAATATGGAGGTAAAATTGACGATACTAATGAAAATATTTAATGCCAAGTTTCTATAATGAAATACAAGATCAAAAAATGAACATAAAAAAAAATTTACAAGAACAGAATTTCCAAAGACACGAGATTATGGCAAAAGGTTACAAGCATGAGATTAAGAACACACATTTTGTTTGAAATTTTGAATTTGATCAAGCACTGTTTGGGGATTCTCTATGAATGTAGCAAAATACCAAATCTAATAGTATAAAATTACTATCAAAATGATACAACACCTCTTTTTCAAAAAAAAAAAAAATCATATTCTAAGTTGCTAAAAGCATCATTTATACCAACCAGTAAGGATCCACCTCAGGAAAAAACAGAAGCAACAACCCACACCCTGTCAAAACCAGATCCAATTTACTTAATCATTAATTTTTTCATTTTAGGATTTATTCATTTATGCAACAATGTTTCATAAATAAATAGAATTTACCTGGAGAATAAGTAGGAGGATGCATAGGGACTTTTCAGATCTCCTGCCAAATATTCTCAAGGACACATTCACAAGTGTCCCATCTTTTGTCCCAGTCAGCAACCCTGTCCCAGGGTCAAATCTGGTAATAATGAAATATAAGTACATATCAATCTCAAAAACACTAGAACAATATAAAAATATTATAATAATTCAAAAAACTCTTGGATTTACCTTGGCAGACGATGACGTGGACATGGGATAATGCCTGCCAGCTGTCAAAAATGTAGCATCCTTATTAGTTGTTTAACTCTCAACATTATTCTGCAATAAAAACTTCAAAAAAAAAAAAAGAGAGAGACAGAAAGAGATCGAACCTGAGGAAGCGATAATAGAAAGTTTATAATTTGAGGAAGGAAGAATATTAGGAGTGTTTCACTGTCAAAGAAAATGCAGAAACACATGTTATTTATTTAAGAAAAAATCGTCACACAAAAGTAGAAAATAATCAGATATCGCTACTTTGGTAAGAAATAGCAACATATTTCTTCTTATTACAACATCAAACTCTACAATTCAGGTAGTTTTTTTTTTTTTTTTTTTTTTAAAAGTATGATGTTTCAATAAGAAAGAAAATTTAATAAATACCATGTTACAATTGAGTAGATATTTCAAAGTACAATGCTTTTATTAAAAAGACTGAAAAGTAAATGAAAGTACGTTGCTATTTATTAAATATATTTTTAGAATATCACGCACCTATAATGGCCTAAAATGCCAACAACTGCCATTGTCATTCCAGCAAAGTATGTATAGGTGTCACCAACGAAAACAGAAGATGGATACCTAAAAAAAAAATGAATTAAATTAAACAAATTTCAACTAAAGTAATCAAATTAAAAATAAAAAAACAAAATTAACAAAATAAATACCAGTTGTAAGAAAGTAATGCCAGTGAAGTTGCAAGCAAAGGTTGAACAAGGTATATGGAGAATGCATGGGCCTGTTTGGTTTCAGGATTGGAAGATGCTCCGATTTGCATAATATTGTGGATTAAAATCTGCATTACATGATTATAAATCAGATTTATTATATTATTTATCTATGTCTTGTGTTTTCTTTAAGATCTGAAGGCTTACAGCAAATGCTATAACAACAGTCTGTCCAACTTCAAGGCCATTTATACCAGCATGGATGTTGATTGAGTTTGTACAAAAGACAGCCAAAAGTCCCATATATAGCTTATAGATCCATCCTGTTCAGTACCCAAGTTTAAAAAATTAATAGGAACAAACAAATTAAAATTATCAAAACATCAGAAACAGTGAAAGGTCTTAATCAGACTGCAGGATATGATGTAATAAGGAAATCAAACATAACAGGTTGTACTGTGTTTGGCGTGCATTGGACTGATGTAATAAGGAAATTATGGTATCATGATTTCTGTTAAATAAGGAAATTATTTAAATGTTTACCTAGATCCAAGATTTCTGTTCCAATATACTGGACAAGGGGTTTTGGTATCATGATGGTTGTATGTCCAGCATAGGCCATCAACAAAGGGAGAGCAGCAATTGATGGTAATAGTAGTTTCCTGCCTTCACAAGCAAATTTAAACCAATTAGAGATGTAATAAATAAACAAGAAATGAGATTTAGAAAATAGAAAACTCACACTCTCCAAGGAATATCAAGAACATCATCCACAAACCCAAGCAAAATCATGAAGCAGATAGATGCTAAAGCTGCATTATACTCAACAAGCCACTGCGAGTGTATGGATTAACCAATTAATTATAAAATAAACAAATTATGGACTAGAATAAAGAAAAGTGTCACAATGTGAAGAATCAAACATACATTTGAATCTGATGTGAAATTGAAATACTGAAATAATATCGCCACCACCAAGAAAACGATGCCCACAGCAATACCAAGGGATTCAGGCCTGCAAGAAAGGTAGTAGTATCAACACGGAAGTTGACCGGAATAATTTAGACTAAGAGTGCACTGAATTCCAACTCGAACTAATGCAATTGAATTATAAAGGATTCTTCTTGCATACTAAATTGCTCAATTGTTCATCAAATTACATCAATTTGATCGATAGACGAGGAAGTGGAGACCATACACGAGAAAGAACTTACACTTTGACCAGACCTTGAGGCGTACCCTTCTTGTTAATGTCGTAACCAAATAAATTACGTTTAAGAACATATCTGGAAGTCACTGGGATCATCATTAGGGTTATAAAGAACCCGGCGAAGCTGAGAGATGCATTGATAAGGATCGATTTCTTCAGCTCTGTTTCGATTCTATAGTGATAAAATATCAGGTAAAGGTAAGGAAGGAAGAAAATCGAAGAGAAGAAGATGATTTTGCTTGGTTTTGAAGGGGTGATCTGTGGGTCTGTAGAAGTAGCGGCGGATTCCGATGTTTTGGGATGTGATTCGGTGGGTGGCGGTGGTTGTTTTGAAGCTCCTCTCTTGCGAGCTGCCATGGCTGATGCTCTCTGCCCTTCTTTCGCCGTCTTCGAGTTGACGGTTGCGATTTGTAAAAGGAATCCGCGATCTCTACTTTCCTTCATCGTCGTCATCGGGGTTGTAAGATCCAATAATATACTTACACGTGGGATCCAATCACGTACTTACACGTCAGAATAAATGTGTCCCCTGTGGGTCATACAATTGCAATTCATGTTTTTGTCCTAGTTTTACACTTTTGCGTTTACTTTGAAGAAAAATAACAAGTTGTTTCTAAAGCAAATTCTATAAAAATTATTAAGTTTTCATAGAAATTTAGTTTGATATTTCTTTTTGTTGTAAATCGAATATTTTGTATCTCAATTTATTATAACTAGATGGGGAACCCCTGCGTTGCAGGGTCGGATGCAACCCACCTATTTAATATCAATATTAAGTGGTAATAAATAAATACACGAGTTTGGTTAGATAAAACTTTGTTTGATGATTTCACAGGCAATCCATTTCACATGGGCCAAACATTTCGTACAGGCTCATTACTTAAAAAATATTAATCTCACCTGTTGAGAAAATATGATATGTTGAAAGGGGCAATTTTTAAATTTTGTAATTAATTAAAAAATATTAAAATATTGAGGTAGGTCAAGGTAAGCTTGTTTGAGGTCCATTTTAGCATTTGTCACCATTTGAGAAGAACATGACTCTGTATGATTCATCAAAACATTTGAGAAATTTAATACACAAGTTTCAGTGAAAATCAATAAATAAAAAAACACATACCTTAAAGTTGTTGTGGTATGACCCTCCACTCGATTGACATCCTAAAAGGGATAAACTTTGTAAACATACCTGAAGTTGTTTAAAAAAAATCCAAATTTAAACAAAGATAAATATAAGCTTTACAATAATAATAAAAAGAGTAAAGGTAATAACTTGTTCTCTTTGATCTCAAAACAGCGACCATATAATGAGTAAAACTCCTTCTTTGGTCCTGTAATGTCAAAGAAAGATAGAATGAAACCTGCATGAATCAAGAAAGAAATTTGAAAGCCCGTATTACGAATCAGTGACCAATCAACCAATAGGAACCTGCAATGTAAAGTGATTTCACGTTTGTTCCGAATGGTTAATTGGAGTCTAAACCCTATAAAATGAATAAAAAAATTGAGAAACGTACCAATTCCAGAGTCATAAGTTGCTTACAATCTGTTAACACTCGTCCTGTATTCGTGGCTTACCGTCTTGATCTCCACATCTGTTTATGACCATATGCAGGGGCATTTTTAACAAAAACTGTTAAAATCATTATTTTTTTATAAAAATAAAAGTATGTAGGGAAATAGAAAGAGACTAACTTGGTTTTAATATCTATAACTACCATTTCGTCAATAGAAACAGCCTTTTTTCAGATGTTCCTGCATTAAACATTTTTATTTTAAAAAAAAAAAGTATTAGCCTTTTGTTGATAAAAAAAAATTTATAATATACGAAAATGATGTCCCAAGAACTTCCAATCTGCCTGTAAGCAACACATTCTAACGTGAACATCCCAAGAACTTCCAATCTTCCTGGATTGAGCCTAATAAAAGGAATGGAAGTCACTAATCTATAATTCATCAAAAATTACAAAGTGTAGATAACATATTTGATTCTAGAATCAACAAATATGCATATGAATGATTATGTTGATGACATACCATGTATGTATGAGGTAATTTGATGTGCAAGAACCCAAATTTCCACATGCAGACAACAAAACCCAAGTAATTTCAGAATTTATACTTAGGGTTTACAACTTACCTGTCAAAAGCTTGTCCAGCAGAACGAAAGAGTTGAAGGAATTAGGGCTGAACAATACCGACACAACGACACAGGGCTGCTGGCTACCTGATGGTCGTACCTATTTAAACAACAGATGCATTTATACCACCGAAACAGTTCTTACACAAAGAAAGCACACTTGGTCTGGATGATGCGTCTGCCATAGTCAAGAAAAATAAAAGTTCATTCTAAAACCCAAAAGAATGACATTGTCGAAATTACAAAATTACCTTTTTGAGAGGAGTAAGTGACGAAAAGGTCTGAATAGGGTTCCGAATTGGGATAGAGTATTATAGACTTACAGAGTTTTAGTCATTGAAAGCAAGATCTTCTGAAGGGATTCCATCTGTTTTGTGAAGATGGTATTTTTAATGTTATCAAGGTTTTTTAGGGAACCATAGTTTTTGGGACTTTTCGAGCAACTGATAAGAGGGTAAAAAAGGGAATAAAATCGATAAGAATTAATCAAGAGATTGAATCTATGTATGAATATATGTATGTGAAATGTGAAGGACCTGTAACCTTCCAATGATGGAAGAAGCATTTCTAAACTGTGATACTAATTGAGCATGAAGGTTGTCCCATTTATCCATGTCATCTTTCACCCTCTTGAATTTCTGCTGAAACTTTTTCACTGTTGCCTCCATTGTTAACCACAAATTTTGCATTTATTGATATACACGATTAGAGTCTATTGATGCTCATGTTATAAATTTACCTATTTATTTTGGGTTTATAGTTTACTGCATTGTTAACCTCGAAAATTTGGCAAACATGTCATAATCTCAACCCTAAGTATGAACATCTGGAAGAATTAGGGGTTCAGAACTCTGTCCGGCATATACACAAACACATGGTATGGTGTCCACTCCGGAATGAAAAGTTAAAGCCTTATGAACACAAAGCACACCGATGTGGATCATCAAAACCCAAAAAGAACATATTCATCATAAATCGGTACAGTCAGTAGCAATAAATTGAATAAAAACATGCCCAGATTAAGCAATGAAACCAGGGATCGAAATTCGAATAGTGTGCCTACGTAGGTGGATAAAGAACATGAAAATTGGGATATGATGCATGTAAGGGATCAAGAACTGAGACATCATGCTTCAATCAGATTGTTAAAATTAAAAACCAAACTTCGAAATTATACCATTTCTTTTAACAGTACAAACCCACGGTGGCAGCGTTTGAGAAAGCAGGCGAAAAGGGGTTAGAAGCTCTAGTTGGCGGTGACTGTTGGGTTGCTGTCGGTGGCACAAATCAGGAGTCAGCCCCGTCGTGAGAACCTAAATCGCAGCCCGATCGATGGCCATCTGCATCGTGACCACTTCAACCTTTAGGATGCGTCGATTTCATACATCGATGGTGGAAGTGTCGAATTCACATACCAACTGTGGAAGCATCAAAGAAATTCGAGGATTTGAAGAGCTCAACGGAACGTATCCGATCCCAGTCCCGTCGTGAGAACCTAAATCGGAGTCCGGTCGATGGTCATCTGCGTCGTCCCGTTTGTAGCTTGGTGAAATCCGAATATGAGTGGCGAGAAAGCGGTGGGGGGAAGATAAGGCAGAACCGGTGGGGGAGACGCGAGAATCACACGTAAATACCCACCGGAACTCCAAAGCACCACAACTGAAGTGAGAGGAGGCAGTGGAGGTCAGAATGGTGCCATCAATTGAAGGCACCGTAGTAGAAGGAGCAAAATCGAAGGCACCGTAGTAGAAGGAGCAAAATCGATCGGTGGGGTGGGGGTGGTTTTAGGCCTTCTAGACGATTTTGATGGAAGAAGAAAAGGTTGGATAAGAACAAAGAAACTGAAGGACCGATATTCCTTACCATGGTCGAGGAGCGAACCCGATGAACAGTACCCTAGTTAGTACTTTGGTTAAGCATTATTCCTAAGAAGTGCTCCCCTTTAATATATATATATATATATATATATATATATATATATATATATATATATAAAAGAATTCTATTCATCTAATCAATTGATAACTGACGTAACATATTAAAATGACATGTCACTATTTTATTTCACTATTTGGTATTATTATATTCTAATAGTTATAAAAAACATTTCGATAGAACATATGTACCAAACATATGCGAGTTGGCCCTAGTAATGCTAACATATCCATAAAATATTTGTACGTAACGTATGCGAGCTAAAATATTGGTTAGATGTTTGTACTATTTGATTTAAAAACATGGGGTTGTATAATCGGTTATAAGTGGTGCATATAGCATATACCAATTTACTTGAATATGAATCGGTCCTGGACAACTCCTGCAATCTCACATATGGGTTCGATTTCGGTCCCACAAAGTGCCCCCAAAAAAACTGGCATCAATCGTTTCATTATGGTGTCAATCCATGACCATGCGCATCACCTCTACATATCTCAATGCATTGGCTTATACATTTGTTATCTTATTTTCTTTTAAAAATAATCACTATACTTTGGAAAAATCCCAAAAATCACTAAATTTAAAAAAAAAATCAATTTTGACACCCGGAATAGAATATCACCATATAATGGCACGTTATAAAAAGTGATACGTCAAAATATCACCTCATCTGGCAATCAGGTAGATTGATTGACTAAGTGGTCACAATTGTAAAAAATTTGTAAACAGGGTGTCCAATTTGAGATAAAATACACAGTATCAAAATTTAATTTATGTAAAAACTTAATGACTTTTGTAGAATTTTTCATTTTTATTAAGCTTGGTATAGCATGTTAATTATATTTTTGGTTTTTATTTAAACTTTTAAAATTATAAAATATTATTTTTACATAAAATTCAAGAGTCTTTTGCGGTATAAAATTTAAAATTTTACAAAATTAAAACTTATACAATATAAATTGAAAAAAACTCAAAAACAAACTTAAGGGTAGAGGGAGTCGTTAGCGGATGAAGGGAGTGGGTTAGCGGTATCGTCGATGACACAATTTGGAGGAGCAAACAAAACCAGATAAAGGCACACAAACGAGTTGTTAAACCCACAAAGCTCTATTTTTCTTTAATCTATTTGTCTATTGTCTATCTAGCTTTAGTTGTACTTCTTGCTCAAGGACTTGTACGAAAATAGTATTGTATGTTTTTAATTGAATAGGTTGAATGGTTTAGGAAAGATGAATTTTCATATGTTGTTGGTTAGAAAAAAATGAGAGAGAGAGAGAGAATCTTATATGAAGCTAATGTGACAAGTGAATTGAATGAGTTGGGAGAGATAGACTCCCTCCGCAATCCACCAGAATCCTTATTCTTATACTAATAAAAGAGTACTTCTTTTGCTATGTGTCATCATATTAGACCTCTTAATTAATGTGTTGCCACTTATCAATATATTAGTTCTCCATTTTAAATTTTTTAGACCTCCTCATTAATGTGATGTTATTTGTCAATATATTTATTCTCTATTTTATATTAATGTTTTCATTAATTCACAAATAAAAAATATCTAATATATATTAAAAATTAATTTTACATATTTATTTGAATCAACGATTATAATTTCGCATAACTAAAAAAATATCTTGTAAATTAATAATTTATTTAAAATAATTGATTAATAATTTTGAATTTTTACTATAAAAATTTAATTAATTTTATAACCGTAGTTCCTACGAGTTATAAACTAGTCTTTAATTAACATCTAGTAATTTACTTCCACCTATCACTTGGCATTCTTCATTTATGACCATTACAAATCAGTTTTAAAAAGTTTTTCTTTTTATTTTTTATAGTATTTTATAAGTATTAATCTCTAACTACCATCTAGGAATCTACCTTCATCTATCACTTGGCTTTCTTCATTTATGACCACTACACTTTGATTTTAAAAAGTTTTTCTTTCGTCACAGATTAAATTTTGTTAGTAATCACAATGATAATAACAATTTTTGTTACTCAGATGTTTTTTATGAGTTTCTATATGATGGTTGATTTTTAAAATACTTAGGATGAGTTCTATCAATTTAAATTATTTAAAAGAAAACCATAATTTCAAAGATTCTATTTTATATCTTCTTATAAAGTGTGTATTGAAATTTGTATCGCTAAAGGGAGTAGCTCTTGGGAAACTTCAGCATTGTTGAAGTGTCTTCGACAAACACCACCTCACCATGTTGCAAAAACTAAGCTTCTCGACATGGCCTTGGATAGGAGAAAGAAAAAGACTTTTTTTAATTAAAATTCAAAATTTTAACCTTTTTTTTAACCAGTTTTAATACTAACATCAACATTCACGTATTACTACACTCTAACCTTCATACATAACACTTGTTTAAGGTATTCGATCTTTTTATGCTTTTGATTCAAGTAAAAAATGTAATACTATAATTAATAAATGGTCACGGCGTGACCATCGATTCAGAAATTCGTGTTCATCCTTGTGGGTCACGATGTGACGTATAGGTGGGTACGATGTGACGATGGGTTAACCCTAATTCCGTGTTTTGCGCTTTATTTAAGGGAATTGAGGGGTTATGGTTTGCACACCCTCAACCTCTATCACCTCCCTCCTATCCAATTTGAAGTTAGCCTCAATTGTGACCTTGAAGAGCTCTTTTGGTGGTTTATAGCTCTTTGGTGCATTATCTTGGCAATCAAGTCTCTTCCTCACCACTTTGTATTGTTTTTGGACCTTTGTAACTCCTAAATCTCTTGCATTTCTCACTTAAGTATGTTATATCTAGGTTTTAGTCACTTTTCTTCATAATTAGGTTGGGTAACATGCATGGGATCCATAAAGTTAGCAACTTTATGGACATTGAGGCCCTTTATGGGCAAGCGGTGCAAATGATGCAATCATCATAACCAACACTCTAGAACTTACCTTAAAGAGAAGATAGGTATTTTCAAACATGGCGAGTTTTGAAATGTTGTGAAGGATTCGGAAAATAGCTTCAAATAAATACATCGGAATAGTTCACTATAGGTGGGTCTAAAAGAACCAAAACCTCCGAAACAACCAATCATTTGATGGTCGTGTCGGCATGACCTCAGCCTAAACGAACCAATTGAGGTTCCAATGCCTAGCCATCGTTTGGGAAGATATCAAGCAAAAAGGTGTCAAAGGTGGTTCAAGTCGGGAATAATTATTATGTTGGCAAACAAAAAGTGAGGTGACGACCACTCCTTCTAACCTAACTATCAACTCGGAAATAATTATTATGTTGTCATTCCCACTACACTAAAAGTAAAAGAGAAAGGGGCCTTACTACTTACTATTACATGTTTTGCAGCTTATAATGCGAAGAATAAAAGGATGTCTTATACAGCCAACTGTTTTGAATGTGCCTAAAAAATCACGTTTTGCATTTTAATGTCTTTAGAGGTAACCATTCACACATTAATGCAAAAAAGTGACCTTGTGGGTACGTTCAAAACAGTTAGTTGGTTATGAGTAGCATTATCCTCAAAATGAACACCCTAAATGACCATTATACTCTTACTATCTTTTAAAAATCTAGACTCCTTATCTTTATAGATAGTTTGTTCATGATTTCATTGTACTTGATGAAAGAAAAATTATGATAATCATTCAGACATTCACTCTCTAGATGTTTAGTTTACATTGTTTTCATGACAAGAGAGTTGTAACAAAAACACTAGTGCATTAGAAACACATTAAGAAAAACCTAAAGCAAAAGGGTACTCAACAGTTTCTCAAATCAGACACTACATTAGGGTCTTACTTTCTCATATTATGTATATAGTCTACACAAAAGCTAAAACATCAATTCAACTTCTACATTTCTTGTGACCATATTTCTCATGTTACGTATAAACAATTCTAATCCTCCTCTTCTTGTGTGTCATCTGATGTTAAAAGATGATTAAGAGAAACTTTTGTCTTCTTAATCCCTACATTAATCACCTCATTGCCAACATCATCATGAACCTTTCTCTTCACTGATTCATCTTTCTGCTTTCCATCATCTTCCTTTTCACAACTCTCTGTTTTCGGTTGACTTTCTTGATCTTCAGTCTTTGAGTCAGTGCCATTCTTATCTGTTTCTTTTGATTCAGGTGGAGAACTTAACAATGAAAGGATCTCTTCATTGCTTGCAAGATCTAGAGCACTCTTCCCAGCTTTGTTTTTTATACTTATATTTGCACCTTTTTTAACCAAGTACTTGATGAGATCAATGTAAGATCCTTGAACAGCATAGTGAAGTGGAGTCATGCCCTTGCGATTTGTAGATTTGATGGAAACTCCAGATGATACAAGTGTCTTTACCACCTCAAAATGACCCTTTTGAGAAGCAAAGTGAATTGCACCCATGTCATCCATGGCAGATGCACCAATGTCTGCCTTGTTCTTGCAAAGGATGTTCACCACCTGTGTCTGACCAGCCCATGCTGCTAAATGTAGTCTACGGTTCAGTAATTTTGAATCAAGGAGAAATAAACAAGCCATGATTGTTGCCATATGACACCACAAATGTTTTATCAAGAGATTGAATTTTCAAACATGAATGGATGAAAGGGATGCCATTATATGAAGTGATTCGAGCCCTAATTCTGTAGCAATTTGCACTAGCGGGTCCAATAAGAAGAATTTAATTGATATCTGATGTTTCATTGCTGGTATAGACATAGGTGGATTAAGCATGGGAGAGCTATGATCACTCCACAGTTCAATCAAACGGGAAATTCACAAACTGTCTAGGGAATTATGCTTAAAACATACCGATTCCCAAACAAGATGAGGAAATTCAATATTTTTAGGGAAAACTCGTATAACTTTCACCAATTTTATAAGAGTATACTGTGCAGACAGAATAACATTAACATTGAATTTGAAATGAAACCCTAGACGTAGG